ACATGGTACACTAGGTGTTTTAAGACATATCTGATCATGTATTTAGTCTGTCAAATACTGAAAACCAGATACAGGCACACAGTGCAGCGTTATTCTCATGATCATTGGCTGTTTCTGTTGTCTGTCAAAACATGAGTTCTGTCAACGCTGTATTGACCATATTTCTATCCAGAAAAAGCTATTTCACGACAATTATCTTCATCATTTTATCAATAACTATCTATTCTCTCCATAATATAGCAGAAATGTCATAAAAACTCAGAACACGCCAATCCAGGAGAACACAGACAAAACAGACACTGAAACAAGCTGCATTCAAGCTAAAAGCTATCAATCAAAAGGCTCAGAAGATCAAAAGTTTGGAGCTAAGAGGAGATACAAAGTTGTTCAAGTTCTTCATTTTCATCAAAAGTGGTAGCTTAATAGTGTCAAACTATTTATTCAAAGTAAACTTGATTTCATAGTGTGTGGCAATAAAAACAAGGGCAAAGTTAGGAAAGGTAATGACTACAGCAGACACACACACACACACACAAAAAGAGAGAGAGAATTTAAAAGCAGAACACTCCTTCCATCCATTTTTATGTGAATTAATTTGAGTCTTCACAGCTTCCTGCTTGAAGGACAAAAGTTTTCCACCAGACCCAGCATGTTTTTTCATTAGCAGTTGGAACAAGGGGAAGTTGTAAAACCACTCTTCATTATAATGAAAGAGTATGGTTTTAAATCAAGATGACATTTTTCAGAACGTGATCCAGCTCAAATTTGTGCAAAGTACAGTGCACACATCCCCGAAAATGAGATTCGTGTTGCAGGAACAAACCTCAACTCAACAGTGCAAGTACAGTGTAATGCCTGAAATGGAACTGACATGACTGACGTTAGCAGCCGTGTACACTTTATCAGCATGAGGCCAATGATTAGAAAGCTAGTCCTACTGGATCAATATGCTCAGGCTCCATATAATTAACTTGGCCCTTACCTTTTTCCATCTAAAAGACCTACAGCAGTAATCACTGCCAGTGATGGCATGTTTTAGGACACTGTCAAAATGGATGTTAGCTTATGTTCTGTCACAAGCTCTATTTAATGATGACAACAAGCTCTCTGCTAAACATCATATAAAATCCAGACCCAGGCTGAGAGAGGTAGGTGGACAGGTTGGGATACAGTGATATTGACCTTTGTAGCATGACCTCCTGTGACAGATATAATTGGTTCTACACAGCCAGTCCCTGGCAGTCACCCGCTATAAATACAACATTGCCATTAAACAACTACCCCAAATTATTCTTAATTTACAATATATCAGCGTGATTATCCCTTCTACCATCCATCCACTCAAATTCTTACTGACAGTGTTTTAATTTGGCTCAGAAAAACTATCTTATGGTGTTCAATTTAAAATTATTTTGTTAAGCAAAGTCAATTAGTGCTATGGTAATGGCTTGGCCCCTTGCTACTTGCCTATTCTTCATGAAGGTGATTATTGGCCATGGGCCAGTGCTAAGCTTGTAGTTTATTTTCATAAGCCAAGAGAGGGGGAAAATTATGTACAACTAATAAAGACTCAAGGTGCGGCAGCAAAGCCAATAAACCTGGACAAGTAACTGCATTTGGATATGCAATCAAGTTTTACTAAAGTTCTGATGGATTTGCAGAGATATTATTCTAACTTTTCTGATGTAAGCACAACTGTCATGATTTATCTGTATTTCATGTTCCATACTTTTATTTTGACACACTTCTGCTGCACCACCTACACCAGAGTCCTGCATGGATCGTAGTATAACAAAAAGTACAAAACTAGTTCAGGGAGCTGGATACCAAAATATAAACCAAACCAGTGAAATAAATCAAAGTACTGCTGATCAGAAAAAGTCAGACAAAAATGAGACAATTCAAACAAAGTCAGGAACAAATGAGAGACAGGTACTGAAATTACAGGGCAGAGATGCAGGAGTGGTGAGCTGAGAAAACAGAGACAACAGGTGCAACAAGGCACCGAGACAAAATGAACCAGCAAGAAATGAAAGGAAAGGAAGGAGTATATATAGGCAAAAACCAGGCGATAATGAGCAACAGGTGGAAACAATGAATGGTGATTGTGAAACGGGGTAAAGCTGGGGCAGGTAAGGTGACACAAGACAGGAAACTGACCAAAATAAAAGCATCAAAAAGGAAGCAAGTCCACAAACCACAACAACATAAAAGTAAGTTTATAATGTTGAATTAAGGCCAATGAATAGCTAAAAAATCTCAAGATTAAAAAAAAAAGTATGTTCTTTTTTGACATGTTGGAAAGCTGTTTATTTACTTTTGTCATGGAGTTGCTTACTGTGACATTTTATGTAATGCTCATTAGAGTCAATTTTAAGTTTTAAAATGTGTGAAATTATGATTGCAACTTTCTTCGGTCTCCTAACAAAAGCATAATGACAGTAGGAGGTTATTTTGGGTATTTGACAATATAAAAAAAAAAAAAACTAGATGAGGACAGATTCATCACATCTTTTCTCTGGCCATCCATTATTTGGTCTGCTCTTTTGATCTCCACCACTGAAGCAATTATTGGTTCTTCTTTGCCCAGGGCTACATACGCCCTATGACAATGACAGTGAAAAAAATTCTCCTATTATAACATTCTCTGAGTTTAGTTTAGTTCATTTTCATCTAATTAATCCAAAACATACTGTAGAGTAAAGATAAGATTTCAGTCCAAATTGCTACATGTAAATGAAGACATTTGATATTTATTTTTTTTATTTGATAATTAGTCCAAATAGTCTTTTACTTTAACCATCAGCAATCCTTTTATGCCTTCTGTGCCCATCATAATTACTGCAGCGCTAGAGGCCGCCTAACAATAAAACCTACCTATGGTTCATAATAAACTGCTTGCAAAGATCATCTATATAGTCAATTTTTACTTTACCCACACTGACTGGATCACACAATACATACAGTATTGTGTAACTCAAAATACTACACTGAAGATCAAACCATTTTTGTTGTACTTCCATAAATCACTTTTATTCCCAGTGAAAGAATAATCATGTATAACCAAGTTAATTTAAAAACGCTCTGAGAGAAAAATTTCCACTTCATGGGAAAATAAATCAGGATTTATCAGACAAAATGCCCCTGCAAAATTAACACACATATTTCAGAAGAAAAGCTGGATGCCTTGTCACATGTTCTGACTTCACACTCCTCTGTCTTACAAACACACACACACCTCCTACTCCACGCATGAATGAGCAGGTGAATACGCTCTATCCCTAATTTACAGATGATTTCTCCCATTAATCTGCAGTCTGCAGATGTTGTTAAATTATTTTACTCTTCTGGCCTCCTGTTGTTGCAGCTGTTGGAGGCTGGGAAGGGGAACTTAATAGCTGTATGTGTGTGTGTGTGTGTGTGTGTGTGTGTTTATAAAGTGCATATGCAAGGGTTAGTGAACATATATTGTAGGTGTTTGCCTGTGCACATTATTTTGTGTGGATGTGTTTATATACATGGATGGTGTGCCAGTGTAGTGTGGTGTCAGAGTGAAGGTACAGGTGGAGCACAAAGTGATACCCGCACCGCAAGCAAAGCCAGATACATCTCTTTGAAGTGCAGCCACTAGCGGACGTGACCAGATTTCATCTGTTCCAAATTCAACAAACAACTATGTGGGAGTGTGTGCATGCACAGCTGTGCCATAGCGTGGACCAGGGTCATGTGATTTTGTCTGATGAGTTGCAACTGGACTTTCACTGTAACGCTGAGGACCTATGAATCTAAATGCAGGCTGCAGGGGTGGGGGGACTGGAGCTAGTCCTAGCTGGCGAGTGGCAGGGTCCACCCTGGACAGGTCACCAGTCTATCACAGGGCTGACACTTAGACAACCACACAGATGCACACTCACTCCTACAGGTAATGTAGAGTCACCTGTCAACCTAAGCTGCATGTCTTTGGACTGTGGGAGGAAGCTGGAGTAACCAGAGAGAACCCATGTAGGCACAGGGAGAACATGCAGACTATATTGATAACTCATTGTCTCTACTGATACAGTTCATGAGTTAGTTGGGTATTACTCATTAAAACCTATACTAATTAAGAGAATTAGAAGTCTTAGCAGTGGCAGAGACAGTGGCTGTTATTACAGACTCACTAATTGCTTCTGGTGAAGCCTCCTCATTACCTCCACAAACAGCCACAGAAAAGCCAGGCAAGGTGTGTGAGCAGGATTCAGAAAGAGAAAGGCGCTAATGGGTCAAGTTTCTTTTTATCATCATAATCAACACTGTGTGTTTGTAATCAAAAGGCACAGCATGGGTTCAGCCGAAGTATGTCAGGACATCCTCTGAATGTTCACTAATTAGAAACAGTGACTGACACAAGGAGAACAGCTTGAGGCTTCATCTCACAGCATGTGATGATTTCATTTATAGTGTGCTAATTTTACCTTAGCTTCCTTTCCGTGTATATGTCGAGTGTTTTTTTTTAACCTTGGCATTCTACAGTATATATCTGTGGCTTGACCGACCGCTTCACCATTCCTCTGACTGTGCTGTGTCAGTATTTAAACTAGCATGTAAAGCTGGCAGATTCTCTGCAGGGCAGGTGTACATCATTATTACACATCACTGAAACAAAAGAACATTAAATATACATCTTGTATTTTGTACGTTTATGCTTTTTCTAATGGATGTTCTATCTAAGTGAACACTATTTTTCATGCCTGTTCTAAAAGACACATGGAAAATTACTTTTTTACCTGAGTGACTTATGGAGTCTACAAACAAGGTACATGATGCAGGCCATTTAAGTCAGGTACAGTACAATTCACATGTAGGTCTGGTTTCAAATTGCTGAAGCAAGTAGAGGAATTTTGTTCACAGCTGGGAAACAACTGAATAAATAATGCGTCACAAGTTAAAAATAACAATGGTGATTATATGCATGTTCTGTGAAAGTTTATTTATTTAAATCAAAAGCAGAAAGACTTCACCTGAAAAAGAACGCAGATGCTTATGCTGCTGTCATACAGTGTGCCTCCATCAGGCGGTGTTTCACACCTATTGAACAGCCTGCTGTGGGGTTCATGCCTGAGGCGAATAAACGAAAACATGACAGAAACTCTATGAGCCAAAAGTGCTCAAAAACAGCCACAGTTTCCATGCCATCACAGCCCTCAGTGACAGTGTGTCTGTGGGTGGGTGTAACCTGGCAGTGATCTGGATGGTGGCACTGGCTAGTATATCATCTGAGCCCAGTGGAGCCAGAGAGCCCATATGCCCAGACTGAGGGGGAGCTGAGCCACGGAGCCCTGGTCCTGTGGTCAGCTGCTACAGCCAAACTGCCGGACCATATGGAGATGAATAATGTGTGTCTTTTGAAACACACTCTGGACTCCCATTGCAAGGTTCAGTGGCATGTTAACAAGAATTGATAACTTCTCTGTGAATTCTCCAGTTGCAAGACTGCAATTTCACTTCTGGACGCTGGTGCCATAGAAAAGCTGAACAGTATACTGTGTGGCACACATAAAAAGCCTCACTGAACTGAAATAAAATATTTTAAAGCTACTATCTTATAGTAGAAATTGTAGAAGAAACTGGGAGCCTTGTTTTACTCAAAACAAAACGTTGTATTGGTAGTATCAGAACTTTCAGGATCGATCTGCCAGTGCAGGCATCTCTGCTCCTGAGAAGCCAGTCTGAAAAGCAGCTCATTCTTGGTTAAATATCAGCTACCTTTTGGTCAATAAATCTCACATCGATTATAGGAATGGAATTTTCTATTTTTGCTGTTTAAAGATTACTTCAAAGTAAAATATCCATTAAAGTCTTATTTTTAGTGTATAACTGTATGAATGACATTAATATTTTTTCCAGGGAGGTCTTTCAACTTTATGGACATTTTGGAGGCCATAGTTTGAGCTGCCTTGTAACTGTTGAGAGGCATTTATCACACTGAATTTATCCTACTGTACATGAGGGTGAAAAAGGGGTAGGCCAAGTATTGTGAATGCCTAAATTGCAAAGCAGTGCAAACTACTGTACAGCCCCCAAAATGACCATAAAGTTGAAACCACCTAAACAAAATTGACCATTATACTTTCATGATGATATTATTATTGCCAGCCTGCATTTAGATTTATAGGTGAACCAAATACACTGCCAGTGGAGGGTATGTTTATGCTTATCAGTACTGTATAACTTGGGATGTACAGTATATGGGCACCTAAGGGATTATGCTTGAACAAAGCTACTCAATATAACATGTCAGACAATGTTGGACCTCAAGTGTTCCAAATGGCCAAACTGGAAGGTAGGGTGAAATGTTAACCATCATAGAGGGGGGGCTGCTAAATCATTTAAATATGGGGAACATGACGCACATTATCAGACAGTATTTTGCACTGCACTGTACACATGTAAAGTGACTAATAGCTGTGTCAAAAATGAAAAAAGAAAGCTTGAGTGAGCTCAGTAATGGCAGCTTGTGGTTAACTTACTTCTGAAATGAACAGGAAACTTCCCCCAGTCAGCCTTGTTCAGGACACCTTCAAGGTCATCTTCCTTTACACAACATAACACTAAGGTGCTTGAGGGTTTGCAGTAAAGACTGCAGTTTTGGAGCACAGCCAGGCCAAACCATCTGAAAAGTTCATTGGAAAAAGAACGTTACTTATGGCTTCTGCACTGTGACCTGTTTCGTAACTGTTGTTTTACCAAAAGGAAAAACAACAACAACAAAAAAAAACTGCAGATTTGATTGTTTTTCATTGTTATTCTGTGCAACAATGCACAACAATCATCTTTACAGTCAGGCTCAGGCTAGATGAACTGGTAATGGGCCACTTGATAATAAAGAGCAAGATGTGGCATGCTATGTGACTTTAATAAACTAAATAACCAAGATGCCTACTCTGCCAGTAAGTGAAGCTTTCCTGCACTGTGAAAACTGTCCATTCTGATCGAGATGCTCACCTTGGTGCAAGAGACTATGTTTGTATATATACATATATATATATAATGTACTGTATCTTAAAAATGACATTCTGATACTACTAAGAAATCAGAGTGAGACCAGGATATGAACACTGAGTAACATACATGGAGCAACTGAGGTTAAATACAAGCAGCACAACTGAGAAACACTGACAAAACCAGGCACCTGCTACCCTCACAATGACAGAAACAACATAACTGAATGTTTTGACCACTATAAAATGGGCCCTGTCACAGCTCAGAATACACAAAAATGGGAAGGCAGAAGTCCAAATGGGAGTCCAAATGCTTCAGTTAAAGCCAGCAGAAAAAAGTCAAGATTAACGTGTCACAACATTTCAATCACATTTAACTATTTCACAAAGTGCGAGTTAGATGGGAGAGAATTAAAGCAATTATTCATGATAGTACAAATAAAGCTAGCAGTATTTTGAATTATAGTACCATATTTATCTGGGAAAATAAACCAACCATATCTGCCATTTCCAGGGGTGATTGCGAGAATCCTATTTCAAACTCATAGCCTGTCAGTATTCTGCCCTTGGTGTAGCTGCATCTCATTATTGCACATTTTCTGACAAGTATTTCTGCAGACATGGACCATTTAAGATGGAAGTGTGGCTATACACGTGTCTGCAGACTCCCTTTAAAAATGAAGAAGAACAGGGTTGAACAGACTTTCAGAAATAAATAAAGTAACAGAATTTTATTAAAATCCATGCAAGAACATCCAGCTCCAAAGCCACAGTTCTGCAGTCATACAACTAATATGACCAGAGGCAAAGAGCAGGATGTTGAAGCAGTTTAATGTGAATTCTTGTTTGTCTCATTTTACATTTCTTTGCCAGCTACAGCTCAGGCTTCAGCAAATGTAATGAAAATACTTAGGTATCCATCACCGTCTCCTTTGCCGTCTCATTTTGACCTACTCAGGGTGTCATTTTGCAGTGCATAAACACTCTGGTATTCATAAATAATACCTTTCCCTGTAAAAAAAAAAGCAGACATGAGACTGGCTGACAGAAGCTGGCATTTTCAGTTGGCACCCTCTAAGTGTAGGTGTAGGTGTCCCAGCTGTTTCTCTGACACTATGCTTCTAGACTCCTGCAGCCATCCATTTGTCTGTCAGTCTCATGAACGAGTGTAAAAACTAAAAGCAATAAAAGCCCCCCTGCTGTAATCAGTGCTGTTTTCATCTTTTATAATTTTTCTCTGTTTTTGAGTCTATTTATCAAACACGTTGGCTCATGAATACCTGTGTGTTTATGTTTGCGGCCATGAAACATGATGCAATTATTTTCAATGAAAAATTGCTGGGATTTGGGCAAGCTTCTCTGTCTTCTGTTTTTCCTTATTGTTCACCACTAGAATTAAACATCCTAAAAATGCTATACTGTCCATCTCATTGGAGGAAAGGTAAACATCACTGGTCATGAATAAGGAGAGTTGTTACAGGGACATGAAGATTCATGGAAATCATCTTTCTAATGCTTCTCTTATCAGCTCATCTTTGCCAGATCTCTACAGTTTGCTCTTTACAAGACTGCTTTCAGTTTTACATTACCTTGGTCACAAGGTTGTGTCATCCATATGCATGTGTTGTTTGAGGACCATTAATAAGGTATGACACTCCTGTGTCTCCTATAAATCATTGTGTAGGCCAAGCTGTTATATTTGTGAAAATTTAAATCTATGAAAATTGGCAACGGTACTGATTTGGGTCATCTTTGTTGAATACTGCAGCAAACTTGCCAAAGTGGACAGGGTGAAAAGATTTAATTAACCTGGGGCAGTCCTTATTGCGCCACTGTTTGACGTGACACATCACAATGTAAAGACAGAGCATAGAAGAATTTTGATAATTAACTGAAAATAAAATAATTTGTTAGGATTTGCTGTTTTGCTCAGTTTTATACCACTGAATACCTTTCGGTTTGGGGCTTGTCACTTTGGGCTCTGGGACTTTGTAACAGGCATTTTTTGACACTTACCTACATAAACAATGAATGAATCAATAATATTTAAGTACTAAATATATTCTATATAGAACATAGGACAGGAAAATGTGTGCCCACCAGCAGCAGTTGTGTTTATAGGCTACCCACTAGAGTCCTGTTGTACTGCTGGTGTGACCTGATCTTGCTCATACTTGCCAGAAATGGCCGCCAAATGAAAGGCATATTCTGTATTCCAAAAGGTCATGTAGAAGTCTGAATGAGAGATATGAAAGGTCAGCGTGACTTAGATTAAAGTGACCTGTCTCCACCCCAGGAGAGCATTATTAAGACCAGGCCACAGACAGCTGCATGGCCTCAAGAGCCAGGGACTGGTCACTTATGGATGATGCGTTTAAGTGTGCATGCTCATGCATGCCATTGCTGATACCTTCATGATAGCCACAGAATGATGAATTAACACCACACAAATGAGGCCATGGTACATTTTTGAGCTTTGAATTCAATGGCACACTCAAGCGAATGTACTGTACAGCTCCTGACAAAGGGAACTAAGGAATAAAAGAACCTGTGCGGTCTTTTGTTTGAAAACCTGACTAGTGGTTTGGTAGTGGGAAGACAACATGAACCAAGAGGGGACAAAAATTATGTGCTCTTGCATAGCATGAACACCAGCATTGAGGAAGCACTGAAAGACATTTTGCGGTTATTCTGTTACTGCTAGTGTGGTACATGGCTTCTAGCTTGACTGTGCCAAGATGTGTCTCATCTTGGATGTTTAATGAAAAGAAGCACAGTGAAACAGCGATAAACCACAGGTCAGCATTTGACTTGAGCTAGTGATTAGCCTTAGATAGCAATGACCATAACATGAAAAAATTACAGTTCCATTAATATGCTAATGTGATTAGAGCTGGTATTAATGTTTGTTTGGACTTAAGTATATAATAGACTTTTAGGGACTATATGAAAAGTTCAGGAGGAAAAAACAACAGTTGACCTTACCCACTACTTCCTGGTAGAACGTGGATACCCCAGCCGAGCTCGACATGACCCATCAGTACCTGAGGGGATCAAGCCAGGTTTGGACACGCAAGTCAAACTTTAGGCTAGATGGTTGGAGCACTCAAATGTCTGCTTCGTTTAATAATAAGGGGAAAAAGACCATACAAACTCAATCGCACCAGGCTCAGGTCAGGTTCAGACATAAGCTTGTTGGTCCGGATTGGGTTTGGATGCCACACACTCAGGCACAGGTTGCATTTGGAAAGAAATATGGGGCCTGATTCATGCTCTACTTGTAAAAGCAAACCCGTAACTTCAAATTAATGGGCAATAAAACAATAAAGTAGTTAGTTAAAATATGTATTTATGAATTGATTTTTAACACAACCTTCATGAGCTTTCAAATTAAAAAGTAACAATATTGTTACATGTAATTAGTGTATAGCTCTTCTTTATTCTTATGCCTTACTAACACTAAAAAAACCTATTCTGCAAAGACTATTCTCCAAACAAAACCTATTTATTCTCATTAAATTGCAACAACTCTATCCACATCAGCTCAAGGTAAAGTATTGGCTCTTTTGTTTTTACAAAAATGAAACTACATGTCTAGATAGTATACTGTATACTATACAAACTATAGTATACTGGCTAAAGAGAACAGATGCATCCTGTCATGATCGATACATCAAATTAACAACCATCGATAACTGTGCAGGAAATTTTCTCCCCCATGCCATTACCATAATAGCCAGTTGCTGTATTATTGACAATGTTTCACAAGCTTTGTCACCATTTATGACTGACAGCGTCTTGCCTTGTGTGATCTTTCTAGCTGGGAACAGAGTGGACGGACAACAAAATGTTTTTCTTTGAATAATCTGGAACAGCATGCTTTGCAGTCATATTCATTCAGAAATCTTCTATGGTTATTGTGACACTTCTCCTTCCATGGCAAATGCAGTGAGCCATTTGAGGTTTCTTATCTACAGTCTTGTGTGCTCACATCCTGAGTCATTTAAATTAGCAATGAGCTAAATGCAGATGTCGATTTCCTGTCATCTCTGGGACATCGGGAGGTTGCTTCTAGTTTGCTCTGTGACTCCACAGATGCTTGCCTGTTTTCAAATGAAGCACTTGTATTTGCTTTTATATCATATGCATACAGTACATACTTTTACATCAATCATATGTATTACACAGCTGTGATCCTCCTGTTTGTAGTGTAAATATTGTAGTAATTATTTCAACTGTGGGGTGTTCAGGGCATGGAAAACATATTCACTCTATATATGCAGGGTACTGACTGACATATACTGTTTCAAATATGTGATCATATGATGAAAGCAAATAATGAAAAGGGCAAATAACTGCAATTTGCTTTTTTGTGTTTGAAAGCAGCATATTTTAAATATGCAAGAATACCACTTTAAACTTTCAATTATGTGTTCCTTAAGAATGGGAAACATTAGCTTCAAGCAGTTATATCAGTGCAATTTCACAAATAATATACGTCATGCATTCAGACACCTTTCTCTCAATGTGTTTTCCAATCCAAATGGAAAGGGTCTTCATTTGTGTCCTCATAGTATTGATGTGAGTGACTATTTGATTAGATCTGCCTTGTATCAAGGTATGGACACTTTGAAACTGAAGTGGCACATTTTCCAAAAAAATAAAAAATAAA